GATGCCGGCCCTGGCCGCCCAGCGGCGGGGCTGCCGCGGCCTCTACCGCCTGTACCTCGGGTGCCAGGCGGCGCCGCGGCCCCGCGCCTGCCACGGTGAGTCCTGCGGGGCCCGGGCCGCTGCACCGCGCCGGCCGAGGCTCGCTGGGAGCCGCGACGGAGCTGCGCGCTCGCCTGGGGCACAGCGAGTGGCAGCCGGGGTCCCTCCCCAGGCGGTAGCACCGCTCCGGCTGCGGGCACTCTCGGGCCGGGACCCGCCGGGAGCGCCGGCTGCTTTCCGTGGGTCGGATTTATAAAAAATGAAAATGTGCAARTGTTTGGCGAGAGCAGTGCCGTACCGGGGTGTCCTGGCCCGGGCTGTGCCAGCCCCGTCTGACGTRAAGCAGGCGCGTCATGCCCGTGCCGGGGTTAAAGTTTGCACCAATTACATAAAAGGTAGCGCGGTCTTAGAGCGTTTGTGTTGGTCCGAGGAACGAGCCCCGGCTTCTCCTTTAGGCCACCGATCTAATGGAATTTGAATTCTGTGCATTTTTAGTGTAGTCACTGCCGCTTGAATTGCAACAAATGCTCTTTCTTTAACGGTTTCTTGCGTGTACATGGATTAGTAGGAAAAATGTTCTCTTACTATGCTGATTAAGTGTCCCCTTTTCAACTGCTCTAATATCACCAAAGCTTTGGAAACAAYACTGCTCATCTTGTGCCACATATTTGTTGTAGCGTTTTATAAATTCGTAATCAGTAAGTTCAGTGAACTGTGTTGAATATTCTGGGYTTTTGTCACATATGCAACAACTGTTAGTAAGAGCTGATCTGACATTTTTTGGTGAAATTTTTCCTTCAGTAAGGTTCAGGTCTGTGCACACAATCATGCAGGTGCACTGAAGACAAAAAAATGATAGCTGTTGACACTTTTATTGAATGAACACTTCTGCAAAATGTGCTTTCCAAAGCAGCCAGTTTCCCTGCTGCATTTCTGTTTGGAGGTGTTATCTACCCTCTCTACAAAAGTCTTGTGCCCCGTAGAAGAAAATGGTTGCTAATACAGGTTGCTCTGTTCTGCAACTCTGCTTTTGGCTAATCTTTTGGAATTGAAGATTGACTGCCCAGGGTGGTTTCTCAATGGACTTTTTGCATATTTATCTTTTACTTTGTCTGCTTTGAATGTTGCAACTTCCTTATAAAATGTTTTGTACAATGTTGTGTACTTTTCTACATGATTTCTGTAGCAACTGTATACTGCGCACAGTTCAGTTTTTCTTCATTGGTAAGCTGTGATTTGTACAGAGTGTGCACAGAGTGAAATGAAATGGCAACACTCACTAATAGTTTTGCAGTGGTCTGTATTTGTTCTTTTGTCGATACATAGTTTTTAAACACTTAGAGGCACTATAACTAGAATAGGACTTAGTGTATCAGAAACCTGATCTTGTCAAATAGCTTTTTTTTTGTCTTTTGTTTTTTTGTTTTTTTTTTTTTACCCTTAAAATCATCCAGAGGTCCTGAAAAAATGCATACTGGACTGTGGGAAAAAGTCCCCAATGTTAGGGTGAAATTTAAAAGTGGATGTTTGAAGGGAGGTGGTGAAAGCATGCTATGTACTCTGATATTCTAGTTCATAAACTCAGGGAAAATAAGCATGGGTCATTATTTAACAAGCTAACTTTCCATAACTTATGCTGGTAGAAGAGGACCCCTTTCCCTTCTTTTTCCTTCTGAAATGATTACCTGAAACAGCTTTTTTGCTTCCCTTTGTTAGGATGGCAAGTTTCAATGAAAAGTGGGAGCCTGTCTTATATTTTGCCATGCAATCGCCTGCCTGTGCAGTTGATGAGTCAAGTGAGAGTTTATACCTCCAATGGTCAGAAGAAAGATCTTGGATCAGAAGATACAAATGGATCAGCCCGTGGAGAGCCCCTGCATAAAGTTGAAACAGGTAGTACTAAGCCATGATAAAGATATTTATAAAAATGAAAAAGCTTAATATATTTAGTGATAAYGTTTTTCTTTCAATTGTGCAATATTACAACTGCAGAATTCTTAGTATTTTTTGGTTGTGGGCATCTAGACAGGAAAGTGGGGAGGAATGCTGAAATTAATTTCCTTGTCATTCTGRTATTAAAAAGGTTTAAGTTTAGAGTAATCAAATTTAAAATGGTGATGGAAAAATTGTGATATTGAAGGGGATTAAGTAATTTAAGAGATAAGACATGGAATATATTACTTATCTTTCACTACTTTGCTTGCTTATTTGAATTTTTTTGGTATACTTTTTGCAAGTATGTTGTATCAAAGGAATTAATGATAAAGATTGGGTGTCACTATTGAGCATTGTGGTATGTCCAGGCCAGGCTATAAATGACCAGTAAAGAAGGTTGAGCTGTTTCATCTGCTAGAGCTTTCTAATCTGCTAGTTGTTAGAACTGCAGCATTCACATTAAACATTTGATGCAGTGTGCATAACCTGACCCTYCTTGCTGTTCGCTTGTCGATCTTGTGCTTGTTAGGTGCTTGTGAAATTCACAACTGTTGTCCTTGTTCCATTGTAGCGTCCTCTATTTTTGATGCTTATTAACTGTGGGTTTGCACAGATAGAGGCTTGGAGGACTGTGCTTAAGAGATAACAGATGCTTTTTAAAATGAAAGCTCTCTTTCTTTGTGCTTTTGTCTGCAATGGAGAGGTCTTCTAAAGAAAATTTGCTTTTCCTWATTGTCAGGATAGCAGATATTTGTTCCTTCCTTAGTAACTTGTAAATTCCTGGGGCTTGCAGAAGTCTTTAAAAGCTAGTAWCTGTAGCCAGCTARCTCTATTACATTCYGATGTTTGGAAGTACMAAAGTGACTCTTAAGAGTTGTTCARTGTTGAAGATTGTATCATATCACCCTCTACTTGTCTGAAAAATAGTGATTGTGAATTGAAGTATTCCATATGCTTTTTCCTCGCTAATGCCCTGTGATTTTGTTCAGTCTCTRAGTGGAGGTAGTAAAGTTCAAAAGGGTACTTGAGGTACATACATCTCTGTGCACAGATATAATATTAATATTTTTGTGCCTTCTTCTCCCCCCTCTGAAATATTATAACCCAATAATTTGTTAAATAGTGTTTGTGATATTTCTTTTAATGGTATAAATGGTTGTACGTCTCTTTTGAAAAGAAGCTGCTACTCAGTTTTGCAAAGCAATTTTAGTGGAAGTTTTTTTGTCATGAATATTGATGGTTCAGCTGTTTGGTGTTTTAAACCAGGTAAGAAAAGAAAGGAAAGGAACAACAAAGGGATTTTGTTTTCTTTTGTTTGCAAGTGAAAGGGATAACTGTTTAAGGAATGCTAGTTATTTATGATGCAGCCTTATTTGCTGTGTAGTAAGATCTCCTTCATAAATTTAAAAATGTTATTTTTCCAAGAAAGTATCACTGAATTTTTATTGTCTGTAGTTCTCAGTTGCTTCTAGGGCAGTAGCTATTTGTCTGATTGAAACATAGTTATGTAGTCCAAGCTTCAAGAGARTCTGATCTTGGAATAATTTGAGTAGCATGTTAAGCTAGGAGTACCTCATTGCTTAACATTAACCTGCTTGAGAAGTCTTATTTTTAAGTCTTCTTTTTTTTGGTATATCACTTTCAATAAGGTAATTTTAAAATTTTTTAATGATTATGAATGTGTGGCAAACCTCCAGTGTTACAGAGTGGTAGGACACAAAAGAGTGGATATGTTGGTCTTACATGTTGGTTTGGCATGTTAGAGCCATAAGTATTTTGTTCTGAAAGCTATATTGAGATGTGTGAGACAARCATATGATATTTGTTTGTATTTTCAAGTAGTACTTCTGGTTTCTAGGTAGAAATCTCACTGAAATTCCTGGAATTTCATTTTCCACAGATTAAGATTAATTTCCCTATTGTAAATTATATGTTTGGGTTTTTTTTAAGTATGATATTGCCAAGCTTCAAAACCAGCTAAAAGATTTTGTTTTCATTCCAGCTCCAGCTTGTTACATATAGGTTGTGGACTTTAGTTTAAATATTCTGTTTTTAAAGGAGCTAACTTTTTGTAAATGAGAAAACATCAGTCTCTTGAAATTGAATCCCAGCTTGGAAGCTCTGAAACACTCTGAATACATAGCAGCCATAAGCTAGATGGAATTAATTATATTTACTAACCTAAAATTTTGCATAAAACTTGTCCCAAACCATCAGTGTGTTGTTAATTTTTTTTTTTTTAATTCCGGATGCTGTCTGAAATGTTGCAAATTGGTCCTCTTTTTTGTGCAGGCTGCTAGGGGTTTATTGATCAATGCTGTGTTAAATGTTAACTTGTAGTTGGTTTTTTTGTTTGTTTGTTTTTATGTTTCTGTCTTTTGAGAGTTTTAAATGTTGACAATCTGGCAAATACAGTTTCTAAATGTCTTGGTGCAAAGCAATATTTAGATATATTTTAATTTTGTTGTGCCAGTCAAACTCTTTACTAAAAAGAAAAGTAGCCTCTTCTCTTCCATATTTACAATGAACTTTAATTTTATTTTRCAGGACAAGAGACAACCAGTGCAGGTCAAAAGCAGTCTTCACCTAAACAGCCAATCCAATTAAAAGGTAAAGAAATACTTAGTGTATTGAAACTTCACTGGGGTTTGCTACTAGTCAGAAAAAAGAAGTGTAAGGAAGCTGGCTCCTCTTAAYTGTGCAAACAAGTTATATGAATGATATTTTTAAACACACTTGTATTCCAGCTCTGTTTGGTACCCTTTTATTTGGAAGTCACTCCTAAAAAATCAAATATAGCAGTATCCCTTCTAATTACTCACTCTTTGTAATTTGTAATTTTCATTTAAGCTGCARAGTTTATCAGGAAAAGCCTGGTTTGTTTTTTCATGTGTTTTCWCAGTCTGTCCTCCTTGCATGATTTTAGGCATGTCCATTCACCCTCAGACTAGATGTGGCCAAGCTGAATACTTGATCTTTCCCGTTCCCTGTTCTAAGTCTTCTCATGTTCTTTCTTATTACTGAGTTAATCTAATCAGTGTTGCTTCTAAATATATTTTGAYCACATGAACTGTCTAATCTGAGTTCTGTAGAATTCCCATTTGTGTGTAGTAATGTGGTGGGCTTGACACTGGCTGGACATGAGTAGCCCACTCAAACTGGTCTACCACTCCCCTCCTTAGTTGGATGGGGGGAGAAAACGTAATTAAAGGCTCCTGAGTYGAGATTAGGACAGCGAGASATCRCTCACTGATTACTGTCACAGCAAAAACAAATTGGACTTGGGGAAAATCAGTTTATTGTATTGCCAGTCAAATCAGCACTGAGAAATAAAAACTAAATCTTAGAATACCTTCCTCCAACYGTTCACTTCTTCCCAGGCTTAATTTTCACCTGATTTTCTTTTCTCACCCCCCGTGGTTCAGGGGGATGGGAAATGGGAGTTGGGATCAAGCACATTGTCTCTGCCACTTCCTTCTCCTTGGGGGAGGAACTCATGCTCTTTGCCTGCTCCAMTGGAGAGAGTCCTCCATGTAATTCCCCAGTGTGAGTCCTTCCCTCGTGCTGCAGTTCTTCATGAACTGCTCCATTGTGGATCCCTCTTCCTGAGGTGCTGTACTTCAGGAATAGGATGCTCCAATGTGGGTCCCCCATAGGGTCACAAATCCTGCTAGCAARCCTGTTCCAGCATGATCTCCTCCCTCCTTGGGGCCACAGGTCCTGCCTGCTCCAGTGTGGGCTTCCCACAGGGTCACAGCCTTTTTGGGGTGTCCACTTGCTCCAGTGTTTGGTCCTCCATCAGGAGCACAGCTGCCTCACCATGGGCTCCAGGGAATCTGCTCCAGCACCCCAGAGCACCTTCTCCYCCTCCTTGTGTGCTGACCTTGGTATCTGCAGAGCTGTTCCTGTCATGTGTTCTCATTCCTCTCTCCTACCTTCAGTTGCTATTGCACTGAGTTTTTCTTTCCTTCCTTGGTAAATACATTATCCCAGAGGGGCTATCACTGTTCCTGATGGGCTCTGCTTTGGCCTGTTCTAACCTCAGTAAATAGTGGACTGTTTTTAGGAAATATCTTAASCTTTATTTGGCACCTTTTTTTGGGATGAATGTATTTATTCAGGGGCTTAAAAATAGTTCAAGGTCAGACTGRATGAGAGAAATCAGGTTATTGTGATAAATATTAATACTTGTACTATTAGTACTTCATGGAGAGTCAAGCAAYGTATTTTGCTGTTAAGCTTCAAAACAATGTAGACATAAATAAGACAATGTAGAAGTCTTGGAAAAATTTTCTCAAAGTCTTTAAAAGCAGCAGCTTTCTGTAAGTATCCTGTGACCAAAGTAGCAGTTCTGGATTAACTGTAGAAATCATACCAATCCATATGCACAGGAGAGCATATCAATTTAAAGAAATTAATGTGTACTCTAAAGTCTTCTCACTGGTAGAATTTGAGCTTTTTGTTTTAAGTTGTATTCTGTAATGTTGGTTACATTACAGTGTTAGTTGTGTTCTATCMTTCCAAAAATGTAACTAGTCTTCCAATAAGCATGTTTAAATGGATGTGAGTGTATAGTGATTTACATTTGAGAATCTGAAAAAGTTATGTACATACAGAGAAGCTGGAAATAATGGCATAAATGTAAAATTTCATGTATAATTTTTCTGAATGTGTGGTATGCTTTTCCTTGTGCATGAAAATGTGATGTGATAAGAGTACATCTTCTAGACATAAAACCATTATGAATTAAGAATTTATGTTTTTTATTGTTATAAATGCCCAATATTAAGAGTACTAATTTTGAAAGTAATAGTTGAGAAAAATAACATATAGAGTCTGTCTCATTTCTCTGCATGCTCTGTAAAGATCAAAAGTCTTATCTGCAGAAGGAGGAATTGATTAAGTATTGGTAAAAATAGAAATGGAGCCTTCTGTTGGTATTTCAGTTGCTAGACCAAGGGTTTCCAAATGGCCATATTTGAGTGCTGTTTATGTAGTCAGACACTATCTCTGACATCAAAGTTGGAGAAGTAGCTGACAGTGGCAGTTAGGTTTGAGAACCCTGAACTACAGCTTAATAAGTGGCATTTGGAGAAGTAGCTGACAGTGGCAGTTAGGTTTGAGAACCCTGAACTACAGCTTAATAAGTGGCATTTTTGGAGGTAAATCATCCTACTCTTACTCATTTCCACAATGAACAAAATGNACAGCTTAATAAGTGGCATTTTTGGAGGTAAATCATCCTACTCTTACTCATTTCCACAATGAACAAAATGCTTTTCAATTTTCCGTTTCACTGGCAAGCATTGTTTTTCAGATTTCCATATAGAAATATCACAATATGACACTAGTTTGAATTACTAGTTTGAATTACTTTCTGAATTTTCTGCTGTAATCTCTATGATGACTTAACTTGGGTATCTGTTTCTTTTTTTTGAGTGAAAGCAGTCCTTAAAAAAAGAGAGTATGGACCAAAATACACACAGAATAACTTCATCACTGGAGTCAGAGCAATAAATGAGTTTTGTCTTAAATCCAGGTATGATGGGTTTGCATTGAGATCTAATTTTGAATATTTGTTCATATGTGCATGAAAGGTAATTGTGATTGTAGAGTGATTTTGCACAACAACGTTTTGTAAATGCTTTTGTGGTGTACATAATTGTAAGTGGCTGAAGTTAGCTCCTGCTTACTTAGTTTTGCAGTGGACTAGGAGCTTGCACTTAATTTGCATGGTTCAATAATTGCTTCTTAAGGTACTTTATTTGTACTTATGAAGTCTAGTTCAGGGGAGACACCTCTGTTCCTCCCCCGTTTTTACATAATTGTGTAGATGCTCTAATATGTAGCTCAGCACAGGAAATTTTATGTGTTTCCCCAAGTAGCTTTGTTATGTTCAGCCTTTTGCAGCTTGTGCTGGAAGTGTTACATTTTGGGATTAAATTTCATAATTTTTCTTGTCACTYGACTTCAGATTTCCTTTTAAAGATGCTAATTTATGAACCCTCTTTTTAGCATATGTGCACATTATCAGTTACCTACAGATCATTCACTGGATGATTTATTTAGTGTTTGAATACTTTGTCTTCAGTGTGTAGTATTTTATAGTATGAGGACATGATTTGGGCTTCTGGGTGTGACAAACAGTGGTTTTCAATAGCATCCTAGAGAACATTTGCTTCATGTTGTCTGTCCTATTTGAAGTAAACAACTTCACTTTTTTTGTATAGCAAATTAGTAATATCAAAATTGTGGAATATCACCCRAACATAAAAGTCAAATTAGGACAATATGAACCTTTTCTTGCACTGAACTCTTTGTCCACTTTCCTTAGTGATTTAGACCAGCTGAGGAAAATTAAACGACGAAGTCCCCATGATGACACTGAGACTTTCACCGTGTACCTGAGATCAGATGTCGAGGCAAAGTAAGAGCATTTAAAATGGATGATATGAGAGAGAGAAAAGAGTTTGAAAAATCAGGTTTGCAATGTGAAAGGGCCATAATGTTTTGCATTTTCTCTCTGAACAGATTCTATATCCTGATTATTGTAATAATGATACTGTGTATATAAAATTGGAGGGCATGCTTTTATGCTTGAAAATAAAGTTGCATGAATAGTAACATTAAGTTACTGTTACTTCATGCAGGTCTCTCGAAGTTTGGGGTAGTCCAGAGGCTCTTGCCAGAGAAAGAAAACGACGTAAAGAGGCAGAGATCAAGTACAGAGAAAGTGAGTATATAATTTTCAAATAACTTGAAATGTAACAATAAAGGATGATTGTTAGAAATTTAGCAGATAGTGTTATTTTACGAAGAACRTGTAAATTTGGAACTAGCAATTGCTGACTAGGTTTTATAGCATAATGTTAGAGTAACACTATCTATGCAGATACAGTCTGTTACTATCTTGCAATTTATCATCTTTGTGATACAGCAAAAGCATACACTCAGTTGAGATCTATAGTCATACTCTTTATGKGAGGGGGTTTAAATTTTTAGTTAATAATTTACATTTTCAATGYTCTTGCATTTTTTTTTAGTTGAGGATTTTAGAAAGAGTTAAAACTGATCCAAATCTTTATACCATACTGTTACTCATTAATTTTTATCTGAGAATAATTCAGCTTGCCTTCAGGTTTCATAAGGGGAGAAGCTCGCCCAAATAATATTTTTTTGTGTAATACTACAATTGCATGGACAGCCAAATCAGTAGTTTGTGATAGATTTGGATCTGTCTAGTCAGTTAAAATCACAGGAGAGACAATACTGCTTCTCCGTACTTAGTCCAGTTGAGCACCTTAAAATGATGTCAGGTTTTTTTTTAAGCAGTTGTGCTATTAGAAAACTCTTCTAGTAAAAAGGCTAGAACAACAGGCATCTGTTTACACATCTGTAAGTGTACTGAGAGYGCAGTCAACAGCTTCAAAATTTTTGTTGGCCTACAGAATAATTTTTGGATATAAATAAAATGCCTGAAATTGCCTACTGTATTTTGAGTTTTTCCCTCTGTGTATCATCGTTTATTGGTAGAAATAATAACAATGTGTAGGATCGTAACAGATTGTATTTGGATTTTGCATGTGTTTCTGATGAAAAATATCAAGAGAGGCATTTTTTTTTCCACAGATAGATCATGTAGCYCTTATTTGAAGTTGGCTGCTGCATAAAAAAGTAGACTTCAATTCCTGAAACTATTGGTTATTAGTGCATATTAATGATAATTTATGTTACAGATCTGTTTAGAAACCAAAGGCTGTTGTGGGAATACAAGGAGTTCTTTGGAAATACTAAGGTAAGGATATTTTCAAGTATTTGACTAAAAAAGTGTCATGAAATGTATTAGGACATATTTTGAAGGMAAATTTGTAGTGGTTGCATAAGCTTAACTAACTGAATATTATTGGAAGATTTATTTGCACTGTAATATACCAGGTCTATATGTGACTGTTATGCAGTAGTAAATGTTATGATGATAGCTTGAATGGGTTCCTCGTGTGACAGTGTAATCACCAGTAAGAGGGKTTTTTTTTCTGTTGCCTTCTTATCAGAATTGCAGCTTTACTCATGATTTCATGTATGACCTGTTAGTATATGTAGTTAGTATTTTGTTAATTAAAAGAAAAAACAACAAAAAAACAAAAACCCTAAGGAAGTTTCTTAATGAAGAAGACCCAGAAGATGAACGCTTTTGTGTATGCACTACTGGCCCTTCCTCATTGGTTAAWCAGACACATACCCTAGATCCAGGTGCTTGGATGTATAGAAGGATTCCTTAGCAGGCTCTGGGCCTTACAGCTGCAGTGGCCTCTGCTGGAGACTTCATTGGATGTTTATCATTTTATAGCCATCCATTTGTAGAAATATGTAACACCCAATTGCACTTTGGCTGAACATTCAGTAGTAAATTAGTTGCCTTCAAGAACTGTAGCTTCACTTTTGCAATATAGGACAGTGCGAATTTTTTTATTTAATAATTTGTRTTGTAGGTGTCTCATGAGGTCAAGATTTAGTTATTTAATAATCTGTTGTTTCTTTATGTAGCCACGCTCCAGTACAGCAGCTATGTTTTTCAAGGGACCAGGGAAGGTGGTAATGGTAGCTATTTGCATGTAAGTAGACAAAAAATGATGTTTATGCAAGTGCAAAACAATTTATTTATATTATCTTGGAAATAGGAACCATGTGTTTTTTTAAGATAAAGRTATCTGTCTCTGTAACTGAAGTTAATTGATTTATCTATTTATTGTTGATAGGAGCGAATTTATGTGAATACTCATCAATACATAGACATCAGGTATTGAATATATCTTTGATAAGAGATGAGCAAATTTTTTGAAGTWGATCAGACTATACAGTTTCTTAACATAAAAACTAAAATTTTGAAGGCTGGGAAGAGGCAGGTATTTAATGTTGTCCCTTCTCTTGCCCCTTCTTGAGAGAAAGCTTTTCATACATTTTTAACAATCTTCCATATAACCAACAGAAAATAATTTACTTTTCTGCTCATATTATTATTTAACTATTTTTTTTTTTCTAATTGAAATGGGGATATTTTTGGAATTTTTTGCCTTTCACATGTTTTACAAGTTTGAATGAAACAAAGTTAAGTTAATGATCCTGATGTAAAGCCAGTGTTCATAAAGACTATCTGGCATGAAACAGGAGGAAGTGTGTTAAGTTTGTCTCAGGAAATGAAGGCTAAAACRTACCTGCCATGAAACCTTCTGATTTTTCAATATATTTTGTCTTATAAAAGCTATTTATTTTTTAAGACACTGTTGATAYAAGTGAGCATAATAGGAAGAGGAAAATACTTTTTTTGGCCCAGGAAGCAAAAACGTTTTGAGCAGGAAATAACTCTTTGAGCTTCTACAAAACTATATTCTTTTATTTGGGGAAGAAAAATGCTAAGCCCATTTGGCTGAAAACCTCCCTCTTTATTGATAATATTAATATTAATATTAATATTAACTGTTCAGAGCCTTCTATGTTAAAAATGTGTAAGAATTTTTAATATGTATGTTTCTAATGAAAAAAAAAAAGACTAGGGGTGTTGAGGTAATTTCTACCTCCTTCTGTTTCTTACATTCATACAAGGAAAACAGACCTTTCCTCCTGCTTTGTAGAYAGGGCATTGTTGTAAACACTGTATTCTCTTCACTTCATAAATACCTTTTGATTATTGGGTATTTTTATATGTGAATGGCTGGCAGCCAGGCCAGGAGACATTTGTAGAGACAGTTGTGTTGCTCAGTCATCTTTTTGGGGAGCTTTTTCAGAAGTTCAAGCTATTCTTGGAACTCAAATGTCTGATGGCTTTTCAGAGATTTAAGTCAAGACCACCATCAATGCTCCTTTGTTTATGGTCCTGATCTTTTGAATGGCTTTTGGCTTTATGTCAAGAAGGATCAATCTATATTAACTTCTCCAGTTAGAATTATTTGGTAAGAATTTTAACAAACTTCARGCTTCCCCAATGAGGATGAAATGTGGTTCAGTCAGAAGCAGAGTTGTTCCATGGATCTGTGTGAGGGTATACACCAGCTGCACTGGAACACTCTGTGTTAATAGAATTCTGCATGTGAGGGAGATTTTGAAGCTCTGCTACAGAAATACAGGAAGGTAACATTTTTTGATCAAAAAGAGAATGATCTGTTATTAGAAAAACATTCTTCAATGTCTGGCTTTGTTGAATGATTTTATTGTCRCACCAATGCTTTACTTTTTAAGCAGTACAAAGTTTGTACAGCATATAATATTTTTTAAAAAATACTAGTGGTGAAGGATATTAGAAATATTACTACCTTTTTGGAAATACATATGAAGAAGTGAGTTTATTTCTCAAACCTAGGGCCTGAAAAGAAGTTTCTTTTCCATAGATTCATAATGGATYTGAATATTTTCAGTTTGATTTTTTAAAAATGTTTTAAAATTTTTAAAATATTTTTTTAATGTTAAGAGTCTAAATATTTCATGTACCTGGACAGAGATGGTTCTGTTAATCATACCAGGTCTATCTAGACCAGTATCTTACACTGTAAGGTAGAGTATAAAGAATGGGCAGTTGTATGGTGTACAATKCCCTCTGTATTTGTCTCAATTCCCTGTATTTCTTGTTCCCCATATGCGTCTTGGAGTTTTGAGATGCTTATCATCTTTGAAATAAATTTGGAATAATATAAATGCAAGTATTAATGCCCTTTAATTTATTCAAGTTTGCTATTCAGTCAGGATAGGCTTATTTGAATTTCCTTTAATTGGAGCTTAAATTAGTTAGAAACCTTGATTTGGATAATTTTGTATTTGTGTAATTTTTTTTCAAAGAAATGCTGATTCTGTTTATGTTTCTGTACATTTTAAAGTTACCAAGTAAATTTAGACTTTAAAATGGACATGTCTTCTGACAAGAAAGAAGATATGTATTGTTTCAGCACTCCTTTCCTCATTTCGAGGGTGAATGTCTGCCTCCAAAGTGGATTTTGGAATGCTTTAAGAGTACTTTGGAACAGCTTTAGGAGTTGTATGGTTTTGTTTGGTTGGTTTTGGTATTTCTTGGCATGATGTTCAAAACATTACAATAAATTTTTCAGATTTCACRTAGCTTTGGTTTGTGTTCTGTTAAGATTTCCTACTTTCAGGTCCAAGTACAGAGAATATAAGGTAGTTAAATTAGTCAGTTCAATTTAGTACAACARAGGAAATAGTTTCTGAAGTGATGGTCACTGATGTAAAATGTAACTTTGTTWTCAACCAAATCAGAGCATTTTAGCTGCCTTCTCAGAATCCATTGGGATTGCTTCAGCTAACTTGAATATAATTTCTGGCATGTGTTGTTAAAATATGCCACTAAAAGATGTTGTTAATAGTTTCTTGTAGCACATAATTTATTTTAATAGYTTAAAAACTGCCAAGAAAAGAAACTCATATTAAAAAAAAATTAGGAGGGTACTATTCTTCTTTAGTCTCATTTTCTTTGTAATATGATTGTAACATTTAACCTGCTGATTCTGATAATATTTGAAGTGAGAATGTAGCCTTGGATTTTAGTGCTAATAGGTGCCTTTGTGCAACATAAGACRATGTTTCTCCAGTGAACCTGTAGCCTTAAAAATGTTTTCACAATTCACACTGAGCATATTCATGGAGAAGTTCCATAGATAATTTTTACAGTGTAATCTAGTGACAGTCTTGTCTTCCTGTCTGTTGTCTTACATTTGTATCCTACTGAGAATGGCTCAGACTGAGATTGAAGTAGGGAACCTTGCACTGYAGTATTGGGAGAGGATGTGTAGGAGGCAAAGGATTGAAGAAAGAGAAAAGGAAGTTGTGAAGACTTGTATTCTCTCACTGGTAAAAAATCAGTTGTTCTGSGTAGTGAGTGTGATGGTAGTTTCAGGAAGTGTAACTTACTTGGGACTGCTTAGAAGTTACTGATTTTGGAATAATAAATGGTGTATCTTTATGAAGTTTAGCTGGAAGGATTTTTTTTCACAGTAACCATGCAGAAAATCTGTATCAACTATCTGTCTGCACAGCCCTCTAGTTATTCAGCTGATATTTTGATACTTTMTGGCAGGTCATGTATGATTAACCACAGCACTTGTGGTTTTGCTGCAAATGCTAACATCAAATATTCTGTTATTTCTTTTCTTTATTTTCAGAAATGGGTTGAATTTTTTTTTTAAGCTACTTGCTTGGGTTTACACGGGTTCTGCAAGTATGTTTTCAGAAGCCATACATTCTTTAGCAGACACATGTAACCAGGTGAGTATTTTTTTTCCCTTCTGCTAAAGTTAGAACTTGTAATAAAACTTAGAATAAAGACAGATACTTACAGTAGTGGTATTGCACTTACATGAAAAAAGAGGATGCTTTTTAATTTGTATTAAAGTAAGAAAGAGAAGTCAGAATGYAGATTTTAAAGTTTATTTAGAAGTAAGTTGAAAGAAGAGAGTTGCAGTAAGAACTGTCCTCAGCTACTTCRTGGATCATGAGTGGTACTTGAAGCTAGATGATTTTGGTTAATATTTTGGTTAAATATTAACTTGAAAGGGTTCTCTTGTCAGCTATTGTAATGCAATGACAGAATGTTATTTATTTAYCTCTGGGTAGAATAATGATGAGAATTTGAGTGTCTTGTTTTCTTTTTCTTTCCTAGATTGCCTTATCAGCCTCTCACAGTACAAGTAGCCACATACRTGGCACGTTTACTAAGTGGAGTGACAGGCTCAGAATTGGGCATGTAATATTAATGTGCAGGGATAAAATTAATATTTTTTTCCACTGTTTTTCTATACTATGCTTGAAGCATATGTTATGAGGCCTTGAAATTTTCCCTTCTCCCAGTATAGCAAGAATCTGTCTTGTTKCAGTTTTTGATATTGCAAGGCTTCAGGGGGAAAAAGAAAATCAATCCTTTAAAAAAGGCTTTGAGTGAAAGCCTCCTGCAGCTCAAGCCAGGAGTTCTTGGGTAGCTTGTGACTCGTGAAGTGCAACAGTCTTGTGCTCCTCTAAATTTGAAGAGTGTAGAGAACCTTAAAGCAGACTGAATATCTTAAAAAGTGTATGAACATAGTTGTGGCAAACTTTTTGCTTGGGCTGCWCCTAGTCTAGAAAGACTGAGTTAAGGACTGACATTTTGCTTGGTGGTTTTACACAACCTTTCAGCTGTTCCAGATGTAAAATGAAGACAGGGGTGCTGCTCATTCACCTGATAGTACTTAAATTTATGGGGAGGCTAGCCTTAAAGTGTGTGATTTTTCTCTTGGCCAAGTGTGTCAGTGTATAAGTGAACCAAGTTTGATAGTGGTTTTATATGCATTGAAGAACTATTCTGTTTTTTAAATGTAGTTGGACATACCACTGAAATGTGAGGTATTTGTTTTATTTTTTCAAATAATTGAGTGTGTGGAAAAACACAGGAGAAACCTTGTTTCCTCAAAGCAACTTGCTGTTGCTAAGACCAAAGTGTCTGTATTGTAATACTTGTTACTATGTTTCATTACACATAGTCCTAAAATAAAACATGTGCTTTGCAAAATTCAGGTCTAGATTTGTAAATTACTGCATTAACAACTCAATACATGCCTAATTAAATATATCCCAGGTAGGTAATTTAGATAGCAAGAAGTTATTTCTTCTTAAAAATATGCTGAAAATTTGCAATGTAAAGTTACAGCTTTAAATGTTGTCATCACCATACTACACCACAGTTTCAGCATAATTTCTCTTCAAAATGGAAGAAGCTTTGTTCCCTGAGCAATTTAATTTCTTCACACTGAAACACAGCAACAGCACTTGTGATTGCATGTAATGTTCATTTTCAGTTGCAATTCTAAAATTATAATTAACACTGATTATATATACACACACCATATAATTGCAAATATATTATATATGTAGGTATATATATTATATATGTAGGTATAACTAACAATTTTTTGGGATAATAGATTTAGATGACAGATTTTGAGGATTATATCCCAGCTCTAATAAAATATCGGTAGCAAAGCATATATGCAGTTCAACTTGCATCTGCCATCATCTTTCAAGTTCAGTTGATACAGAATGTTTCTAATTTTTCATTTATTTAACCTTTTGTCTTAAATAGGCGCTGCTAGCTTTGGGCATCAGTCAGTCTGCAAGGACACCTGACCCTAGTCATCCGTAAGCTTTTTGAGTAAATAAAGATTTTGGTAATTATATATAGGAGTAAGACCACTACTTTTTTACACATCWCCTTGTTCTTTTTAATCTGCCATTTTGTGTCATTTCTGAAAYGTATTGTTTCTGATTTTACAGCAGATAAAATAAGAAAAGGGTTTTCTTTCAAGCTGCACAAGTTGTAGTTTCAGTGGCTTGGTGCGTGTTTTTGGTTCATTTGTTTAGTGGGGATTTTTGTTTGTTTGTTTTGGTTTGGTTTTTTGTTTTTTTTGTGGTACGCTTTTGCTACGTTTTATTTCAATTGACATTGTTTCTCGAATAGTTGTTCTCGTCTCTTCTGCCTCTTCCAACTAATAGATCTACTTTGTTTTCAAACACTGGTCATGGGAATCATGGGATTTTTTTTTTTAAATAAAAATTATTGTCCTCTTCCTTTTTTCAATGAAGTGCTTTTATGCAAGCCAGTCACTTGTACCGTAATGAGTTGCGTTTGTTGTAAACTGTTCTGTTTTTTAATTTAATGATAGGGATATTACTTCATAAGTTCTTACAACTTCACTAAAGTTATAAGCTGTACTCTCCATGATATTTTTTTAGTGTTGACCTGTTTTGTCTTCATATGTTTGGGCAATCATTCATTCTTTAAGCASATACGACTTGCACAAATTTAAGATTTAAATTTTCCATATTTTAATGCTGTGCAAATATTAGTCATGTCTCCTTTTTCCCTCTCATTTCTTCCCCTTCTTCCTCAATACAGACAAAAAAATTGCACTGTTTGTGGAAGGAGTTAAAACTGAAAAAGGAAATAAATACACAYTTAATATTGCTTTAATTCTTCCACTACACTTAAAAACTCCAAGTGCTGAATTTCTGTAGTTAGCTGAACCACTGAAAGATGTATAAATTTTATTACCTTTAAATTAGCATTATAGCTTATGGCTGCTCACAAAACTAGAGTCCTTATTTAGAAGTAGCATTTCACTAAAATCTAAAAGTAACACAGATGTTTGGCTTGAGTTTGGGGTTTTTGGTTTTTTTTTAGTTGTAAAATCCTCAGTCTTTGTACAAGAGCTAATACAGCTGTTTAAAAACAAGTTAGAAAAATATTTATGCCTGATGTCCTTRCATGTATTAGATATCCTTTTTCAAGTAGGTTTTTCCCCCTCCTTGGATTAGATCGGATTTAGCAGCTTTGTCTTAAAYAGATGCCAAGTCATATGATGATAATTTAAGACATATAAAAATTAATGGCAWACTTTGAGATATGTTTGTAGAGATGTAATATCTTATATTCTAAACTAGTTTTCTTTGCTTTTATCTAGGTATGGTTTCACAAATATGCGCTATATTGCCTCCCTGATTAGTGGAGTAGGCATTTTTATGATGGGTGCAGGACTTTCTTGGTATCATGGGATCATGGGTTTACTCCACCCTCATCCTGTAGAATCTCTTCTCTGGGTAAGCTAATCTTGTTTGRTATTGTATTTAACACCATTGACTTAATAAAAAATAGTGCCCTAGTCTGAAATTTACTTCCTGAGTCAATTTGAATCCCAATGCAATTAACTCAAAACCATTCTTAATGAAAATGTGTTTTAAGAGAAGATCTCGTTAAATCCTGCATCTTTCTTTCATAACCCTCTCAAGAGGTCCTCCTTTCCCATTTTGGACTATATTGCATGATTCAAATATTGTTGGTTTTCTCTGGTTGGGAACAATTGTATGGCACAGTGGCTACTGAGATTCTGGAATGCTATGTTTGGCTAGCCCGTGGTGAAGAGATCTGTGGAAATATGCATATAATATAATAACTATTTTTTTTCCCATACAGGCATACTGCATTTTAGCAGGATCATTGGTATCTGAAGGAGGTATGCACTTTCAAGTTTCTATTTAAGTACTTGTAATCTCTTAAGATTACRGTGTGAGTAATTACAGTAATAATTGATCCTTGCTTACACAGGGGAGTTTTGAGCTCTGTTCCAAATATTTGTAAACAAACTAAAAGAAACATGTGGAGACTTTTTTTTTGCTTACCTGTCTATATGATAAGAAGTTAAAGAGCACATCATGGAAAGTAGATGAAATGTCTTTTTGGTATTAGATTATCAATAAATATAACTGTTTTGATTTGTAGGGGAAACACACATTTAGAAAGGAAGGCAACTATGCKTTGTCATTATTCAAAGTATCAATAATCAGAGCTTTCTTGATGAAATGTTGCAATAATRAAAATTCCCTCTTTTCAAAATGGAAACAAGACTTTTTCCTCTAACGATTTTCCGCAACAACTTTGTTGTTTCAGCCACTCTGCTTGTTGCTATAAATGAAATTCGGAGGAGTGCTCGAGCCAAGGGTCTTTCATTTTATCAATATGGTATGTATCATTATAGCAGTAAGCTATGTGGTTATTTAAAACACAATCTGTTCACTAGAATTTGCGTAGTGATAGAAACAATTTTCTGTATWCCCTTTTCCATTTACTGATCTGTTTTCTATCCTACTAACAAATAACATTTTACAAATCAAGTGAAAGCTGTTGATTTAAGAGAGCTCCTTAAATACTTGGCTAAGTGCATATATTTTTCAGGATAAAACCCCTTTTAATTTTTTTAACATTTTGGAAAAGCTTCCATAATTGGGCTTGTTTTGTGTACATGTAAATGCTTTCAGAAGTGTATGCATATGCAAAAATTCAACTTGTACCTATATAGTTGCATAAATTATTCTTTTAAATTGCAGTTGTTAGTATATTTTAAGTACTGTGCATAATGTAGTAAAGCTAAGCTTTCAAAGCATTGTAACTYTTTTGTTGTACGTGCAGTTGTGCAGAGTCGTGATCCCAGTACCAATGTGGTGTTACTGGAGGATGCTGCAGCAGTTCTGAGTGTGGCTGTAGCTGCTACCTGTATGGGTCTGACTTCTTTAACAGGTAAAATTCTGTACAGAGACAGGGAGAATGTGGGTTTCTTTCTGTGCATGATATGAACACAGAGCATTTAGTTTATATTGCCTGACAWAAATATGTCTCTGGTCTTTGTTTCTGATGCTTGTGCTCCATAGAGTACAGATTTTTGAGCTGTTTTGTCATACAAACGAAATTATTTTTTGCCAAAGATTAGATGATCTGTATGACAAGCAAAGTACGTCTTTGCTGCATAGTTAAGTCTAAAGAGGGATGATTATTTATTCATCCCTTTTTAAGTGTTGATTTTTTAAGACAATAARTATTGGAATTTTGTTTCTTGTGGCTTCTAATGACTTAATTGTAAGTTTCATTTTTGCATAGAAGTAATTTTAAAATTTCATTTCTAGTTCCCTTCATCAGCTTAAAAACACAGTACTATTTCTACAGCTCTGAGCATGAGTAAGTGTTTGAAACTTTTATAAGTACTGTTTTCCAGGAATGGTTAATATTTGCAAATTTTTTACTGATAGAAGAGCACTAGCTTTTGTGCTGCTATCTATGTTGAAGTGTATGTAACTTTGTGTATACATTTACATTTGCTACTCTAGAAACACATAYGCAGACAAGAGGTTACTCTTTTATTAGTCTTGCAGGAGACAAGAGTGGTCGAGGGTACAGAAGGGACTTAAGGCTTTATTTTAAGATAACTTGTTTTCTTCCAGCTTCATCATGTTCTTCAGTAGGAAAAAAAATTCCACTAAATTAAAAAAAAGGTCAAAAAAAGTACCAACAAAAGAAAAAACACCACTAACAAAAAAATCTCACTAAAAAGCAAAACCCAGAAAATCCCTCAAAACTATGTACTCTTTTCASTGTGAAATTGGACTTCTCTGCTATGTTTTAGAAATGCTCTGTGAAGCTAATTTGGCATATCTTGTTTAGGAAATCCGTATTATGACAGTGTGGGATCTCTAGGTGTTGGAACTTTGTTGGGAACTGTGTCAGCATTTCTAATCTATACTAACACTGAAGCCCTGCTGGGACGATCCATTGAACCTGAACAACTGCAGCGGCTCACTGAGTTACTGGAAAGTGATCCTGTAGTAAGGTAAGAATCTTTACAGCTCAGTCTCTACTGTGAACARCAAAAAACAAGAAAATAAAATTTAATGAGAGAAATCCAGTAAGATTATTATTAGTATGGACTCTTCTGTATTGGGATTGTAGAATTTTTTATTATTGCTGATTTCTATTTCTGTGCTAAGACTTTCATAGAGTGACTACTTGTACCTCTCAGATATTCAACAGCTAAAATAGCATTGCAGATATATTCTAACAGTCACATTAATTACAGGAATTAACAATGACTTAATGAGAAAGCCATCACAAATTTAAAACTGTTTTCAAATGCATGAAATGCAAGCACTTAAATGATTTTGTTACGTTGCTTGAATAGTTTATTAGCACTTAAATATTTAAATTCTGTTACTGTTAATATTCAGTGTGTGGAATTCTGTAGCAGTTGGCCGGAAGTGCTGCAGTAGTATGATRTAATGGATTCTGCATTTACGTGCTTATAAGATTAACTCAGTGCTAATTTCTCCTTCTGTCTGCAATTTGTARTAAACTAGTAGTTCATTGTAATTCTTAAATCTTGCTTAAATGTTTTTCAGTGAGCTATTTTAGCTTTAACCCTATTGCTTGGAAGCAATTCCTAACCGTTTCTTGCTTTGGAAACAAAATTCTTTTTGTTTTCTTCTTAGTCTTTATTTAGGAATGTATTTCTATGTAAATCAGCTGAAATATTTTAGTGGTTTTTTTTATGTATAGTATTTTTTGCACTGTGGAGGAAAAAACCCCAAGCCCATTAGTTAATACCAGAGTACTTGAAAGAAGCTAAGTGCTACATCATCACAGTTCGAATCAAGASGTCTGGACAACATGCCTTTCATTCCAGAAACTAAACAAGATTCCTATTTGGAATAGAATTCAATTAGAATTTTCATATTTCAGTAACTAAATAAAGTATTTGTGGTGGCCCTGGATTAGTCTGACTGCTGAAGCATGTGTCAACAGTGCTGTATTAGAGTAGGTGAGTTCACATGATTATTTGTGCATGACCTCTTTAGGTTTTTTTTCCAAAGTGARCAGGTGGCTTCTGCTTTTCTCAGGCTAAAATAATAAAATTTCTCCTMGGCCGAGCACCATTTTATGTTGTATTCCACTTTGTAGGTGGCTCTAACTTCTCAACAGAGCAGACTTGTTTAACGTTCTTGCTGTTGACATTTTTTTAAAAAATAAGAAGTACCTCAATTTTGAAAAAGCTTGAATAATAAAAGAAGAAAAGACTTCGTGAGAAACTGTGTGTTTTTATTTTCTTGAGGTTAGAAGCTGAAACATATTGGGTACTTACTGTATCTTCTGTATGCACTTTGTCTCCAGTTATCMCTTTCTTTGATCCATTATGTTACCAGCTTTGATTTCTTTTGGTGCCTCCTTTGTCTTTGACCAAGTTCTTATAACAAGACTGCTATCTCTGATTTGGTTAGGTTACATCTTCTAATAAGACACCTGGCCTTAATCTTAGTTCTCTGTGATGTAAACTTATATTACCCCTACTTGTTACTAGGTATAATTTGGGGAAAAGCAGAAAACAAATAAACCAAAGGCTGAAATAAGAAAAAAAAAAAAAAAAAAACAAAACCAGAGCAGCTGAAATGAGGAAATCTTCTAACATTAAATATTTTTCAAATGGCTGCTTGTATATTTTCATCAACATAAGCTTTGGACTTCTAAGGATGTCAGCACTTTCTTGAAAGTTCAAACTCTCACATTTTCTTAAATGGAGCTGCATTGCAGTGTGTCCTACTCTGAYATATCCTACTGACACCAAATGTAAAAGATAAAGCTCCTGAATACTGTTTTGCTTCTAAAGCTGTGACTAAGATTTGCTTTTTTATTTCAGCCTTTCAGGGTTCTTCAGTTCTTGATGCAAACCTTTTTGCARTTGCTGCTTCTAGAATACCCCTCCCTTGTTCTTTCAGGCACAGTTTGCAATGTTTATTTTCAGATGTGTTTTGCCAGATTAAAAAGGGATATATAAAGGAATCTTTTAGTATTCATCAGAAAGTCTTTAAGATCCAAATTGACAAAAGGATCCAGAGGCTCTGATACCTACTCCGTCAGACTCTGTCAACACCACCACTTAACTTCCTATTTCAGCAGTAGCTTGCCTGAACATCATGRTCTACTGCTAATTATAAAGTATTTGATTATCAGACAATACTAACTGCTGTCCTACTAAAATAATTCTCAGTGGTGGTGGTATTTTTCAGCTATATCTGGATACTTTGTTTTACAGGTTTGTTTGACAAGATCTATATTCCCTAAAGTTTTAATGACTGAAATTGGAGTTCTTAATATATAATTCATCTCCCCACCTTTCTCACTGTTTTTCCTTCAGTTGTCAGATGAAGTTGTCCTCAGTTAAATGAATTGCCTTGTTTACTGTTCTTTAATTTTGGCACAGTGTTGTTAATCTGRTTTGTTTTGCTGGGTTTTTGTTTTAATTCTCATCAGTATTGCAGGATGAAAAATTAATTTGCCTTCACAGTTCTTCACAGTTATTCTTAGTTCTTTTTACTTTTGAATATAAGTTATGGAACGTGCTGGATTAGCAGCATTTTTTTTCCACTTACATATCCAAGTATTCTTCTCTGCTATTAGTATGGAAACACTTCGTTGTATTAATATAGTCTTGCTTTTTTAGATCAAGAAGACAATAATTACTGTGTGTTTTTTCCTATTCTGTTTCATCAGTAACAGTTTTCCATTTCTGTCTAGTAGCAGGCTTGTTTCCATGTTACCCTTTGATTTTGAAATACTTAAAAAAACAGTTGGTTTGTATCACACTGACTTCTCCTTCTCCTTTCASTTTCTTGGACTTCATAATTTCTCTTTGAGGCTCATAGCTCTTTATTTCCCTGTTCTTTTTATTTTTCTTGGAAATTTCTAGTTGTAGCCCTTATTTACTTGTGATCCTTGAATGGGTTTTCAGAGTTTTCTGAGCTGGAAAATGATTTTATTTTTGCTATGTAAAAACTCCAYTCCTAACTCTCATAGACACCTTTGGTGCCTAAATCATTCTTGTGCTCAGCTTAACTGTACTGTGGAAGATTAGCCTTCCATAAATGTGAAATAAAATATGTGATSTGATACAGACTATGTCCTTATTTGTTCTTATGGAATTTAATCACAGATTCCGAGGCATAAGCTATTCTTAGTGACAGTTTCATCTTTAATTTTACTTTATTGTAACAGCTGTTGGGTAGTTGTGCTTCTGTTGTGTTGGAAAATCTGTCATTCTGGTTTGGACAAAAACCAAAAGTATTACAACCGATTGCTCAAAACCAGTAACCTGATGTTCTCTGACAGATTTTTCATTAATGAGAAACTTGCTCTTTTCCCTAGTTAGAATTCATTGTGTCTACTAACTGTCCAGAAGCTTTTATAAGCAAGCTTTGTAGCTTAAGCATTAGCATACACATTTTGAATGATTAGTGATTTTTCTCTTCTTGACTTACTCTCTTATCTTTTCTGGACAGATTGTATGCAATAAGGTAGACTTTTTTCCTTCACAATTACAGAATATGTATAATTTTACTGAATTGTATCAGGCTACTGCTTAACGAGAATCTCAAATACCACTTGTTATCTTCTTGCCTAGTTCTGATAGGCACTTTATATGTCTCCAACGTTTTTGAATCACATGGCTYCAAATTCTCTTCATTAACCACACCTGTTACCTTACGTACCCTCTTGGTGATGAAGTAGATTGATGCCATCTAGTTTACTCCAATTAATGCTGTTTTGATTTGATGCCTTCCCACGGAATAGTTGTATMAATTGGAATGGAGCTGGAAAGTCTTTATTGCTATTAGTAAGATGATAGTTCTTTTAATCTGCTTAAATATTTACAGAGATGTATTTTTTTGTGTCYTTATATTTAGTTCATGTTCTATTTCTTTTTTAATATTCTTACCTCTCTTGCACACCAAGTATTACAAGAAGTATTCTCGACAAATTTCCTGTAATTGTTTATCTGAAGGTTCTATCTACTGTTCTTTTTTGGCTGTTCATTCTAGCAGGCTCCTTCCAACATACATTTCTTCTGCTTTCTTCCTGCACTGCAAGGAAGTTATTTCTGATGTATAAATATTCAGATGCAAAGAAGCATTTCTAGTTGGGAAGAGTAAATTTGCTTAAGACAAAGGGCATGCTAAATGTACAGATTTCTGTGAAATTGCACAACTTAGCAAAATAAATGAAGGTAACATTTAGTATTTTCCATCAAGTGAGCTGCATTGCTAAATCTAAATTTCCTGTTAGAATTTGCCAAGTTGTCAAGACTTCATTTTTCTGTTAATAAAACTAAAAGTGTCTGGAATATTTTTTACTTGTTTTACTTTGAAAATGTCAGAAACAAGAATTAAAATAGTCCTGTGAAATTATGTGATTTGTGTCCCATAATTTAGTCTCCGCTTATTTGTTCTGACCTTGATGGAAAAATGTGGAAACTTACTCTGCAGTGTCAATTTTAAATTCACTTGGCTTTAAAGATAAACTGAGTTTTTGTTAATATAATTAGGAAAAGAATCAAATATTTTATTTTGTGCTTATTTCACTTTTGAAATGCATCCCAATATGTGTTCATCCTGAATTTGCTTCTTATCCCACAAAAATTAAGATTGGGGTAATTGTTGTTTGCTATCTRTATTCTAACATTAGAATTTGTCTAACAAGCTGGAACAAAACTCAGCTACAGAAAACCAGAATTTTTAAAAGGACCAAAATATAAACATTAGAGCTTTCATGTTCTAGTGTTTATTAGGAGCCTTTAAATAAATATACATTTTCAGCGTTTACAAACAGATGTATTTTGGTAAGCTGTGATTAATAGTTCCGAAGGATCAAAAATGACTTCCAAACACAACATCCATAACTTATTCTTATGTCAAATGTATTTCTGAAAATTCTCCAAAAGATCATGCCTTTACTGACTTTTTAAAGAACACTTCTATAACTGCAATGTCTCCTTTCAGTGATTATCAATAGATTAATGTTCCTTTCCTCAGAATTAAGAGCACTTAATGATTGTTGAATAATGTCGTGTATATGCACAAAAACTTCTCTGCAGTAGGGAATAAGTTAAAAGTCGAACAGAGAATAGGGGAGTTCTCACATTTTTAATTGTGGCATTTTCTTTAATATGCTGTTAGTCTAGTTCCAAATCTGTAATGCTTCTTGTAGTCTCTCTTTTATTGCACTGATTTATAGATGTGTTGGTGTTGCAGAGACCTATGGAAGTTGTGTAACCAGTTAAATCAATATGTAATGGACGTGTGGGTGGGCAAAGTGAGGATATTTTGTCAAAGACAGTGACCTTTTAAAATTACAGGATCATTTTGTGGTGACGGTGTTAACGTGAGAAGTCAAACTAGCTAATGGTTTGTTCTACGTTGTTTTACATTTTCTTTAAATGTGTTTCTAAATTTTCTTTAAATGTATTTTCTAAAATGTGTTTCAGAGCAATTCATGATGTTAAAGCCACAGACATGGGAATGAGCAAAGTGAGATTCAAGGCAGAAGTAGACTTTGATGGCCGTGTTGTTACTCGGTCTTACCTGGAAAAACAAGATATTGAACAGCTACTACAAGTATGTTAAAAAAACTGCATTTATAACCCCCAGTATCTGATATTTACTTTCCAATTTCAAATATGGCTAAATCCAAGTAGGTGAAGTAGGTGAGATACATTTCACTTCTTTATTTGAAGGGTTGCAGATGTTCTTACTTTACATAGTGTTTTAAATGTACTTACAGAGAATCACATTATGTGCTGCTGAAAAAGAGCTACTTTTGACCTGCGTAGGAGGAAGGCAGGTTGTTCTTTAACTCATTGCCCTTGAGATTGGCTCAGTTGGTCAGAGCCAGGTGCTAATAATGCCAGAGTTGTGAGCTTGCTCCTTGCAGGAGCCATTCACATAAGTGTTGGACTCTGACCCTTGTGGGTTTCTTCCAACTCAGAATATTCTGTGGTTCTGTGATTGTTTTGTTAGAAAATAGAGATTTGTTAAAAAAAAAAAAAAGATGAGAACATAATTCTTCCAATACATTTATTGAATTACAAGATCTGCCATTAAAACTAGAAGCTTGTCACCTGCAAATAKGCATCTGTTTTGGCAGAGCCATTTGTGCTGGGTGTTGATGATGCAGTGTTAGGTTTACAGGTCCAGCCGTTCAGGTGGAATATGGATTGCTTGCATCACGTGATTTAACATTTCAGTGGTGTTTAAAAGTTAACCATCCTTAAGTAAGTGTCAGTCTCTGATTTTGATGTAGTTCAGAGTAGCTTTTCTTAATCCCTCTTTTCAATATAGAAATGCAAGACTATTCTCTGCTATATTCTATATGGCAGAACTATGAAGTATGAAGAAAAAAAATAATTATTTATCTAAATCAAAAGGAGAATTTTAAGTGAGCAAAATATTTTGCTTCCTTACCAGTTTTCTCTGCTACCTCGCTTATGTACATTTGCTTGTGTACAATATTTCTTTGTTTTCTRCCATTTTAAAATGGGATACAGATGTTAGATCTTTGGATTTTGTTTGTTTGTTAAATATGGCTTAGAAGTTATCAGAGTTTACATTTAAATTTTACATTGCAATTTGTTAAATCTTCAGTCAGTATCCCAGTTTTAAAAMCACATTAATGTCAAAATAAGAATTATGTATGTGTATTTGTAGTGCATTATCTGATCTGTGCATCTACTGGATTTCAGTGTAATAAATATCTGAGAGGAAGAGTGGTATTAGCTTGTACCAATGAGACACTGCAAGTTTGCCTGGTTTTATWTTGGCAGTTGCTTTGCTGTTGCAGTTTAGTACACTAGTCTTCTTTTAAAAGCCTTGCTAGCTTTTTTCTTTACCTGCTATTACAACCTTTACTAGTTCTTCCAGTATTGTTGGGAAAGATCTTCGTGATTCCTTCTGTGTTGCAGCTGTTTCTTACAYAGGTCCTAATTGTTTCATGTGGTAACCTCATGTCAGCTGTAAAACCACATTGAAGGATAGCTCCTTTCAGTAGGATTCAGCCCTCTGAAGTCAAAGGCAGACATTGTGCTAGCCTTTTGATATATACTTTTTCAAATAAGCAGCTCATTCAGCTAGCACTGCTGTCAACATTATTCTTTCTACACTTGTGAARTATTTGTTGAAATGCTGTCATTCAGATTACCTTGTTTTTTTTCTTGTTAGACTTGCTTGTCATGAGGACTGTGGTTGAGTTATTTTTGAAGCTTTCTCAATTACATTATTCCTCCTCAGTTTTGGAGTAATGAGAAGGGGCAAGAAGTATTTCTTAGTTTCTGTGTCTATTTACAATAACCTGTTTGTCCTAAACATCCTGCAGTTGAGATAAACTACAGGGCAAATGGCTTCTGGACAGCTTGGTGTGAGACCTTAAAGGAAGGCTTGTGGTTTTAAACKGAAAGGTGATAGATGTAGATTCGACGTAAGAAAAAAATTCTTTACTGTGAGGGTGGTGAAACAGTGGAACAGGTTGCCCAGAGAWGTTGCAGGTGCTCTGTCTCTTGAGGTGTTTCGGGCCAGGTTTAGGGCCCTGAGCAACCTGGTGTAGCAGAAAGTGTCCCTGCCTGTGGCAATGGGGCAGCAACTAGATGATCTTTAAGGCCCTTTCTGACCCAAACCATTATATTACTTTATGGCAATACTGTAATACCTGCTTTGGTGCTGCTGATGTTTGTGATTTTTTGGAGGGTGTAGTATAACATCCTGTCTTCCTTAATCTCATTCCTTCATCTGCATATCCTGTTGGTCTCCTAGTCTGAGTTCCTGCCAACTGTCTTCAAGTTTCTGTATTATGGAGGAGTCATATTTACAGAGCATTTGTAGTAATCCTTGTGGATTTTCAGATGAGTTGGTTATGTGATGCCCAGAGTAGGCAGTGTAATGGAATAGCAAGAATGTTTGAAAATGGGGAAAGTGTACACAGGGGTATGCTGCTCTKCCTTGCTGTGAGGAATACCTTAGAAACTTCTAGAAAATGAATTAAATTCTCTGAACTTATTTGGAAAGTTAAGGAGGAAATAAATTAAAGATAGAAGAAGGTTTTGTATCAAATGCAGGTGTAATGRTAGAGCCAGCTGTTTTCATCGAATAGATGCTACTCTTCTGTGTCTTTGAGACATTAAGAACAGATGATGTTTTGAGAGTAAATGGCAAAAGCTGAAGTGTTTTGTTTAGGAGGTTTTTTTCCTCCCTCTTGAAATATGTCAAGACCCTCTGGAGTGTTATTCCTTTATTTTCCTTTCCTCATCTCAATCTCTTAAATTTAATTTCTTCCTAGGAAATTCAGCAAGTGAAAACCCTTGAAGAATTAGAAGCCTTTATGCTTAAGCATGGGGAGAATATCATTGACACTCTGGGAGCTGAAGTAGACAGACTTGAGAAGGACCTGAAGGTAAAATTTAGCTGCTTGTTAGTGAGTGCTTATTCTGTGATGTATTTTAAACAATGTAACTACATCTAAGTTTGGGGATTTCATTTGTAAATATGARAGAGGGAAAGAGGTTGATATTATGAATGCAGATTTTCTTGCTATAGTATTTACTAAGTTCTGACCACTAGCAAGTTCTTACTTTGCCATTGATCCATAGGTTATGTATTTTGTTCCATTTTATACTAACATAGAACAAACTTTCATTAAATAGACTTGGCTGTGTCTTTGTTACTGTATTCTCAGAATGTCAAATTATTTATAGGCTGTTGAATTCTGTTGTGGCTGTAAAAAGCAATTTTTTAAAAAAATCTGGTTCTTTGCATTGTATCAAATATTTCTGTATGATGGGACTGCTACTCAATATCTTTTGCTGTTGTTGAAACAGTACAGGGCTTATTTTACTTTATAACAGCATCTCAGCTTTCTTAGGGGTTTTTTTTTTTCATTCTGCAGTTTAAATATCYTCTGGCTGATGCAAGAAAGGGTTGTTTCCATTTTTAATTTTATAAATATATTGTGGCTATCATAAATTCAGAACTAAGCACACTGACTGCCAGATAAATGCACCAGCAGAATCACAGAATGAACTAGGCTGAAGAGACCTTTGAGATCATCAAGTCAAATCTATGACCTAACTTGTCCTCATCAACTAAACCATGGCATTGAGTGCCACATCCAGTCTTTTTTTAAACACATCCAGGGACAGTGACTACACCACCTCCCTGAGCAGACAGTTCCAGTGTGCAGTCACCCTTACAGTGAAGAATTTTTTTCTGATGTTTAACCTAAACTTCCCTTGGWGCAACTTAAGACTGTGTCCTCTCATTCTGTTGGTTGTTGCCTGGGAGAAGAGACTGACCCCCACCTGACTCCAGCCACCCTTCAGGCAGTTGTAGAGAGGGATAARGTCACCCCTGAGTCTCCTTTTTTSCAGGCTAAACAACCCCAGTTCCCTCAGCTGTTCTTCATAGGGCTTGTGTTCCAAACCCTTCACCAGCCCCGTTGCCCTCCTCTGGACACATTCAAGCATCTCGATGTCCTTAAACTGAGGGGCCCAGAGCTGGACACAGCATTCAAGATGTGGCCTCACCAGTGTCAAATRCAGGGGAAGTTTGACTTCCCTGGTCCTGCTGGCCACACTATTCCTTATACAGGCCAGGATGCTATTGGCCTTTTTGGCCAGCTGGGCACACTGCTGGCTCRTGTTCASTTGGTTGTCGACCAGTACCCCAGGACCCTTTCTACCTGGGCACTGTCCAGCCACTCTGTCCCCAGCTTGGAGCGCTGCAGGAGGTTGTTGTGGCCAAAGTACAGGACTCAACACTTGGACTTGTTGAACTTCATGTTAYTGGACTTGGCCCATCTATCCAGCCTGTTCAGGTCCCTTTGCAGATTCCTCCTACCCTCCAACAGATYGACMCATGCTCCCAGCTTAGTACCATCAGCAAATTTACTGATGGTTAACTCAATCCCCTTGTCCAGATCATCAATAAAATCTGTTCATGGTTTTTGAGGAGCAGAATCAGGTTTAATCTTTTTATAAACATGGATACTGKTTTTTGGTATAGGCAGGGGTTTCAGTGGTGTTGGTGTTGAATATGCTTTACTACATATACTGGTTTTACATGCTACTATAGCATGCTGATGACTTTGAAGTCATGGCTTTCTCATGGGTTATGCAATCTAAGCAATGATGATAACATTTCTACAGTAACAGAAAAATGCTGATTTCTCAATAGAAACAGTATTCTGAATCTTTATAAATTGCTTCAGTAGCATAGAACAAATTATTTCAGCAGTCTTACCCATAATCCAGGAAAGTATCTGTTAAATCTTTAAGAAAGTGAGATATGTATATATATGTGTCTGAACAGTTTTATATAAAACTCTACTGCCTTTTAAAATTGAGAGCTGCTCCATACTTCATAAAGCATGAGAACTAATTTATCCATGATGTCAAAAAGTATTTTCAAACAAAAAGTTGACTTAGCCTTCCAAAAATGCCTTATAATAGGACAATGTTTGTTGAAGCTCTTCCTCATTTTAAAAAGTCCCTGTTACCCAGAAAGGAGATTCRTTATGTAGTTGACAACATCATATYAGAAATACATTACTTTTAACYATGTGCAAAAATGTATTTGAATATTTTCAATTAATTATTTTTAAATTTTATTTCAGCAACGAAATCCTGATGTTCGTCATGTGGATTTGGAGATACTGTAGACTTGAACAGGAGAAATCTTTGGGTTGCTGCCTTTGTGGAAAGAAAGAAGTCATGGAAAGGGCTGCAAAGCTTCTGAAWTTGCAGTGACCTCAGCACCATACCTCGCTTCCTTTGCTGTAGGCTTCCTGGACTGTTAGCACTGCTTCTGTTTCTGGAAGAGCRCTAGACTTGCAGAAAAAAATTTCCATGGCAAAATCAGTTTCAAAAAACAACTTGAGTTAAATTCCACAGGAGAGTGTCCAAATATATTTACTGCAATTCAGAACTTAAGACTTGAGGTTTAGTTAGGCAAATACAGCTGCCTGAAACTATACAACACAGTTTTTCCATTTGTGTCCCTTTGCAGTCAGTTTGCACTTCTTTGGTTTCTTTCAAGATATCATTAAAGGTTCTTGGGAGATATTAAGATTAGCTAGGAAGAGTTTGTTCCAGTGGAACCTGCCAACCTTTAATTGTAGTATTTCAACTGTGTGATTGCTTCACAGTTTTTCTTTTCTATGAGATAAATTCTTTTGAAATGGGCGCTGGCCTTATCTCAAGTACCATGACCTGGAAACCTGCTTTTTGCCACCATTACAATTAACAACTGCACTTCAGGAAAACAAAGTTTTTCACCTCAGAGGAGCCAGCTGTATGGGTTTAGCCAGAGTACATTAAGTTAATGTGAAAAATTACTGCATACAAATTTCGGTGCACTTCCTCTCTTCAAATTTTGGGTTTTTTTTCCTACTTTGCTACTTGTTTTCTTATTTGTAAGTATCTTCAGATGTAATCTGGGAGATATTTTTGGTAGTGCTTATTAAAATTTACCTGGAATTTTTGGCTTTTTATATTTTAATAGACTTTATTGCCAGATATGGTCTTTGCTAGAAGATGCAAGAGATGTAGGTGGAATATATAATAGTAAAAAATGATCTATTTATAATTAAACAAATGAATACATTGTATTTTTAATTTATTTACCTTTAGATATTATCTGAATTCAAAACCACTTACTCTGCTTTTTTTATAACTTGACCATACTTATTTGGGAGAGTAATTCTATCAGTGGTCCTCAACAATCCTGAGATAAGCGATTGGTTTATAACTTTGAAATGTGAAATTCTRGAACTGTGTACAATTGTCTCAAGATTTTCTGCATTAGGTACTCAAGTTGTACCAGATTCTTTGAAACCCAGCCTTTATTAATAAGGCCATGAGTACTGAACTTGCAAGTTGAAATATAAGTAAAATAACTGTATTTAAATAGCACTGAGGAAAATTCTTTATGCACTTTAATGTAAAATAAGATTTGCTCATGGGTGAGAGGTGGCAATAAGACCATCCTAGTAACTCAGTTGCTGAGTAATGACTGACTTGCTGAAAGAAGAAAYGTTGATATGAAACACGAGTCTTCGAGAATCAATTTAAGATTATAAGATTGTAGCAAATAATCRTGGAGACCAATATGTCCAGATTTGACTAGAAGCATTTTAGAGTTGTTTTATTTTCATACTAGATGTCACTTATTAGTGAACTTTGAGAATTTAAAATAACATGCCTTTTTGACAACTGCAAAGCACTTTGCATGCTGGTCATTTTAAGTAGAAAAACATTCCAGAGTTAAGTTACAGATGGRGCTTCACATACAGTAATTGTGGGTGAAAGGAGCTCCTCAGTACCCTTTTCCATAATCCCTATTAATTGGTGGCTTCTTTATAGCATATTACCTTATTATGGCTAATCCAAAAGAAGGCTTACTTTATCTGGTTTTCTCCTTTTGTAGAACTAGTTAGTATATTTAAGCCTGATGATTTAAAATGCAGTTTAAAGGTAATTTGGAAGTCTCCCATATCAAATAAATAAGGCGAATTTTAGCACATTTTAAATAATTTACCTTTCTCCTCACCCTTCTATGTAAAATTCATCTCATCTCAGTATGCACTCTCCTGGTATTAGCCTTATTCATGAAGAGCACTGGAATCTGGTAAAACGTAACATGTTTTCTTTTCCCTAGAATATTTATGTGGATTTTGAATTTGAATAAACACATTAATAAACCAGTTATTTCAGAAATCTTAAAAACCTGACGAGAAGTAAGACTGGGAAAATGTTCTTCCTGCAGAGGTTAGTGAAGACAGCCAATGTGATCCAAATGGTTTACATGCTGGAGTTACTGATGAATGAGAAGTGTCAATGTGCACTTTGCAGGGCAGAATGTCCCCTGCAAGGTTAGTAAATGATATCTTAATAGCAAAGTGTTCCTGTATCATTTTCAAGAGGAGGCTTGAGCTCATATTCTTACAGGACATCTGCTCCAAAAGTCTATAAAAATGTCTTTTTTATTCATTGGAGCTGTAATTCATCTGAATTCTGATCTTAATTTCCTTATTTGAGTCGGGAAAATACCCATCCACACCTTTTGTTTATATTCCAAGATAAAACTCAGTTCCTTGTCTCTCAGTCACATTACTGATGATAGCATCACATTACGTTAAATTCAAGAAGTCAGGATTACAATTAACCAGTCTGAGGACCCAGGTCCTTTTTCAAAACTGACCTGGATAGGATGTACTACAAAAAGACAGGCAGACTGGTTTTGGCAGTACCTTTTAAGTTTACATGTCRTGCCGTTGGATGGAAGTACTGATTCACTGAGCCTGCCAGGTTGGAAAGGAAAAGTAATTCCAAGCTGTTACATTTTAATTTATATGTTATAATTTGCAGATTGTTTTTACCAGATTTGACATTTTTACTGCTTTTTTTCTTTAACTGTCAAAAACTTGAGGTACTGTGGGTCCACTACTTAGTTTACTTTTGTTTGAATATTTGGGTTTTTTTTGGAAATAATTAGCAAATACATTTACATGATAGAGTCCTCAGATTAAAAAATTTTACAAAGTGTGGTGGAGTGAATTTTTTCTTTATCACGAATACAATTCCAAAATGTTTTTTTGGATTGATTTTAAGGAAGAGAAGTGAGGATTTACCTAACAATAAAGTTGTATTCTAGGATTTTTTTCAGTTAAGGTGTGGTGTTTTAATATCATTTATTTGTGTACACTGGCACTGGAGGTTCTRTTTTTTCAAATTGTGTTCAAAGCACAGCTGCCCTCTCTGCTTTGTGGAAGATTGCTTACATGCTGTGCAGTGTGTCATACTGCTGTAAAACTTGCAGTGTTTGAAAAACTTGTCTTAGCGTTCCAATATTCTGAAAGATCCTAATGTATTTTAAGTCCAAGTTGGCTGGATACTGATATGTTTTTCTGTAAAATATTCTTTTTCTGTAAAATATAAAATTCTGAATGGTTATCTTTCCTGCAGCAATGAACTTCAAGTCTAAATTGTCTCCATTATACACTAGAATTCAGCATTTGATGTGGTCTCCCTTTCCCCCTCCACTTTTAAAACATTTATTAAGGATACATTGTAGCAGTAAATACCTCAGTGGACCACAGGGACTGTTTGCTGGCTTGTGTTCTGGTCCAGAAGTAGTGGGGACTCRTGGAATGTGAGAGCACATTTTTTAAGGACAAGTTTGCATCATTTATCCCCTGTGACTCATCCTTCAACTGAAGGCTTTTTGGGCTGTTCTTTTTCCTTCCTTGAATTCCCRCATAGATTTTATTGCTTTTTTAAAGTGACACTTACTTTTAGAAGAAGAAGCCATTATGAATATCTTATTCTTTTAATAGCAGGGCTAAATTCTACTCTTGGTCTGAATTTTGTAGTGTACTTGTTCCTTAATAGTTGACAATAAYGGTTACTGTTATGAAAGCTACAAACCACGTTAGCCAAAACCGTTAGTCAGAGTTTTCTGATTTTGTCAAGTACAGCTTTTTCAGCTGTTTCTGGAGACTCAGTTTTTATTGAGAGATTTCTGCTGCCCCCTCTTTGAGAAGGGAGAGTACAAGAAGGTTTTTAGTTATGTTTTGTCTATTGATTGCAGCCCTGTGTTCTCTTTATTTGTAATCATTTGAGCTGTTTTTCTTCTGTAAGAAAGAAAAGAATATACACTGTGGAAGTACCTCTCATAGTGGTGGGTATGTCAAATACAGTCTTCATGCAAAGCATTTTTATGCCCTTGTATACTGAAAGAGTGGCAATTTTTGAAAATTCTCAATGAAGTAAATCCTTTTGCTCAACATGATTTAGATGTTTTCCTCATAGAGGAAACTAAAGCACCGTATCATTTAAAATTTGAAAACAAAGTGTTTCCTTTTACAGTCATAYGTTCTTAAGGTATTTTGGCATGGTAGAACAATGATGAGTATTGACTCCTGTACAAATGCTGCCCTTCTGCGCATGCTTAAAGGCTTACGGAAGTGAATATAAAATGAGTGTGCTTTTTTCCTTCTAGCTTAGGTACTGTGCTGCTTCTRTTCTTATTGTTGGCTCTGAATAGAGACTACCACAAACATCTCTCTTGCAGTTTACCTGTATAATGTAAATGAGAAGTGGAGATGTACCAAAAAGATACTTTTTTTTTAGAGGGTTTGTGTAGCTTAAGTAACTTTTCCTTTCTTGTTAGTGAGACACAAATAATTAAGATCAAAAGTAGACTACATTACATTAAAAAAGAATTAGGAATCCAGATCCTAAAGCACAATAGTTCTATTTTTGAAATGTACATTCTTTAYGGAAAATAAAACATAACCTCTAAGTGATTGTGTGGTCTATAGAAACTGCAGTCAGTCAGGCTTTGCTGAAGCAAAAGAAATTTAAGTATGTGATGAAAAGAAAACAATGCAAGGAAGGAAAAGATGCAAGACATTAAGTGCTTAGAAATAGGAAAGGATGAAAACCATCTAAAAAACTTGTCCAGAAATTAGAAATTATTGGAGAACAAAGAACACTTAAGAAATTATTCTTTATTAGAATGCACAAAACTAGGTAGGATGATGTTTTCTTTCTTTTACCAATAGTCTGATAGTTGGGTAATTCTTCCTTCCCATCCCCAGCAAAAACTCATCTTTTATTTCCTGTACTGAAAATCAGAACCTCTCTCTGACTATGTCTGAATATGGTGTTCAGCTTGCAGGTACAAACCTCTTTGTCCACTGAAAACTTAGTCTTACTGCTGAGAGTGATGTTGTAATCTCAGTCTGTTGGTGAGGTATGTGTTTGGTAAGTGGAGGGTGAGTAATGTTATATGTGGAAATAGGAGTTGGAGTGAATTAAAGAGAAAATTGATTGATTCTTTTAGACAGAAATGACTGTAGCACCGTACTGAATGTGTTATGGAAAAAGAGGTGCTGTGTTTCAAGGTCTRCAGAATTCATGCAGTGGACTGTAGTTAATGATGAATACGTCAGTCTGTATTTTTCAGTTTGCTGAGATATCTGGATAAGCGAAATTTCTAATTAAATCACTTTCTGAAAAGGGTGTAATTCAAAACATAATGTGAAAAGGATGGATGTTTTTTAAATACTGCAGACACTGTAGTGAACTATAATAGATGGGCAGAAACTATTCTGTATTACTTGGGGCACTTGTGGACATTTTCTTTTCTGTGTAAATCAAAACCACCAATTAAAACAAAAGMTCTTGGTTACTTTTTATAAATGTTACACTAATAGCAAGCCCAGTAGCCAGCATTCATGATGTTGTTCTGGGGAGACGGYGTCTATTAAAATAATGGAATGCAGGTCCATACTGTAGCATAAGTTTGCTTTCTGTAATCCAAATTTAGACTGTTTAAAACTTTAGAGATTGTGATCAATGGCTTCAAATTGGAAGTCAGAAGAAAAAAAATGCAATKATGTATAAATGATGTAATAGAAAAGGGATTTTGTAAATTTCTCTTCCAATTAAATATGCTGTAGAACTGTGTGAGAAGTGTTTGAAGAATGCTTAAAGCATTTGGAAAGCRTTTTGGCTATTGCCAAAATGGTATTAAATTTGAAAGTCAGCAGTGAGGATTTTCACTGGTGGTAGAACTTTCAAAGGACAATGTCAAAGTCAAAATCTATTTTTCCATGCAGCCTTTTWATGAGATTCACCAGCCCCCCTCCCCACCCTGCACCTTGCGTTTTGGTGTATTGGCTTTTTCATTCTGTGTCTTGGTTACTCCATATTAGTATGGGGAAGTAATTTTGATTTGTGAGATGTAGACATTGGAATACTTACCCGCATATGTTCTTTCTTTTGTAATTATACTTGAATTATACATTCTGTATCATGTCTGGAAGTTGTAATTACTCAGTAAAATGTTACAGAGCCAGTAAGGGTTGTGTTCTGTTAATTTAAGCAATTTTATAAGTACTGAAAAATTAAGCAATAACACTGGCTTTAGGTAGCTGATTATTCGCTATGTTTCTGAACTCAAATCACAGATAACAGTTTTATGGATGCAAAACAAAGGTTCTGACCATCTATTTGTGCCAGTTATTCAATTTGCCTTTGCAASGCTGGCACACACTGTTTCACAATGTGCACTCGGTGAGGAGCAACCTGCCCTGGGTGCCCAAGCTCTGTTTATTTGTTCTCTGAACTTCACTGGCAGCTCCACCTTTTATCCTATTACCCCCCACCCCCTGCAAAGTGGGCAGTTCCTTCCCCAGTACTGAGAAAGCTCTTTCTGCCTGGCTCAGAGGCCCCACTGGCACTGTCTCCAGTCCTCATCCAGGTGCAAAGATGACATAAGGAAGGTGCTACAGATGGGTTGCATGTCTCTGTACAGTCAAGGGTTTGAAGAATTCCTTGAAGAGCCTGGGTTTATGTGTTATACTTGCATAGTAACCACAGTTTCACAATCCTAGCAAAGCTGTCCAAGCCTCTTAAGAAAAAGCTTGAAATTAGCCAGCTTAGAAAGGATTTGATGTAGCGTCTGGTACACTTAAGTGCCACTTTTTTGTCACTAATACCAATAATACTCTTTATTTATCCAGTTATGGAAAGAACTGTTAACGGGGCAAAAAAAAATTCTATTTGGTTGGAAAGAAGAGTCAAAAATACCAGAAGCCTGGGTGATGAAGTGGAGAAACTTGAAAAACTCGAATTTTTTTCTGTATGGTATCAGATACCAGAAAAGAAGTGGTCAAGCAACATACTGCAGGGATGATTTTGGCTATGCACTGCTATCCTGATTGCTAAAGATGTTTCATTGCATAGTTAAGAGAGTCCCTTTGTCAAGGGAAGTTTGTTGGTTTCGTATGGTTTWATTTTTTCTCTAATGAACCGAATGGCACAAGTTCTGAACAGAGAAGTGACAGACTTGAGGGCCTTGTCTCTTGTCTGTTTGAGGTCAAATTCAAATCCTGGGCTGTCTTTTGGGCTGTCTGAATAACCAAGCAAGAGCTCTCAGCCACTTSAAAAGAGGGAGAGAGCTCTTTCTTTAAATATAATGTAACCTGGAATCTCCAAAATCCTTTCTTTATTTGCTGTCTGGGGCATTTATTGAAAAGCCRTTCTTGAATAATTGTGTTAAATGGGGGACAATGGGTTGGAAGTGGCACCTTGCAGTCAGCTAGTTGAAAAAAGTGCTGCTCAAGAATGAGTTTTGTCTGTCTTTGCAAATATTTTATGAGGTACTTAGTAAAAGATCGTGAAAAGTAAACCTTCCTTTAGCATTCCAATCGAACTTTTTAAATTTAATTAAAAAAAAAAAATAGATTTCTTCAGTTCCGATGCTGAATTTGGGCTTAGAAATATCTTTTCTAGGTTCTCTTTCTGACACTTGAGGTGACTTAAATGTTATTCTCTGTTCTAGTGTAAACTGATATTCATTCACTGTTTTAGGGAAGTATTTTTTTTACTCCAGATACTGATTGGACAGCAGTTTACCATTAAATCAGACTATTCTGRGTACACAAARGATTAAGGTTAGGATTTAAATGTGRTGAGTTTATTTTCCTCTAAAGCAGTCATAAAGAAAATCCATCTTACATTTGATGCACATAAAAATGCATCCGTATATGAACCTCTTTCTCTGTATGTTGAAGTTGTATCTAGGTGTCTTTGGCTGCAGATTTGTTCCTCACTGGTCATGTTTCTCATGAAAGACAACTGAGATGTCAGCAAAAATAAATACTGTGGAAGTAGATCCTAATGAATTTGGACAACTTGGAAGCCCTGATGGGAGAAAGACTTTCTAATAAAGCTGTGGCTTTATAAAGCTCTTCTCTTTATGCTTTGCACTGATTTCATTGGTTCCAACCTTCACTGCAGAACTTCAATTTCCAGGTGGTTGAAAACAACAGTTTTAGGTGAAGACTAATTCCAAAATCTGTGTTCCAGGAGCTCCATCTGCTCAGTAGGTAAGTGGGCACTTCCAGATCCTTGAGGGAGATGTGCAGTCATACTCTGGCCASCATTTGGGGGGGTTTACAAATGTGCCAAGGTCAATTTTTTCTTGGAAATATCTCACCCTGGAATAGTCTTCCTGATGGCGTGAATGGGAAAGATACCCCAGGTGTTTCATTGACATTCCTTTTGTCAAGAGACAGTSCAAGCAAGCAGTTCCAAGACAATCTTGGAACTGCTTGCTCTGCTTCTTTGGATTATCCTCTGACAAATGAAAAAATCCCTCTTTCCATCAGTTCAGTAGGTAGTTCAGGGTTTGGCTCTTCGCGGTTCTCACATCAGTTTGCAAGCAGAAATTCAGTTTTTCAATCATGTTGCTGCTAGGCATTTTTGAAAGGTTTAATTAGTCTTTTTCTGCTATACTATTGACCCTGTTCCTAAATGGGAACTTAATTTAATATTAACTTTTCTAATGGGAAACTACTTTGAGTCATTAGCAAACCTGTTTCTTTCCATTTTCCTACAAAGACAGCCTAGGTTGAGGCAATTATATCTGTCAGATAAGTGGGAAAGTTTRAAACATTTTTAAGGACACAAAAGGGTTTTTTAACTTTTTCCCAACATTGCTGTATAAGTTCATGTCAGATTTTTCCTTTTGACTTAGCTAATTAATCTGCTGGCGTGACTTTTTTTTTTTTCTTAATGTGATATATTTGCAGTAGAATCTGCTTTTATACTTCAGATGTTGAAGGATCTGTGGAGGAGGATTTTTGCATTCATAGGGCAAGGTCATATACAGAGATCTACCAAGTATTCCAAGGGACTCCCTGGTGCAGCAGGGAACGTTTATCCTATGGAGAGCTGTTTGTGTATRTCGTGGCTTGGAATGCTGGCCAAAAGCCAGGCACCCACAACACCTYCTAATTMGCTCTCCCCCACCACCACATTGGGTAGAGAAGAGCGAAGGGGAAAAAATACTAACAAAAGGGTTCATGAGTTGAGATAAGGAGCAGGGAGGAAACGCTGGATGGACAAAACAGGCACTACTTAAATTATGAAGTGAATTTATTACTAACAAAGTCAGAGGAGGACAATGAGAAATCAAATACAACCCTCAAAGACACCGATCTTCTCCCCACTCCCTCCCCCTTCCCAC